TGTTGACCAGGATGGTCTCGATCTCTTGACCTCGTGATCCACCCGCCTCGGCCTCCCAAAGTGCTGGGATTACAGGCGTGAGCCACCGCGCCCGGCCTTTTTTTATTTTTATTTTTTGCACAGGCGGCGCGGGGGCGGGGGTCTGCACTATGTTGCCCAGGCTGGTTTCCAACTCCTGGCTTCAAGTGATCCTCTGGCCCCAGCCTCCCAAAGCTCCGGGATTACAGGCGTGAGCCACCACGCCGCCGAATTTTGAATTTCACTGAAGCTCGTTTTCCTTCGCTCCACCTCCGAGAATCGTCTCACCGCCCTCAGCTGACCCCTCAGTTTCTCCCAGAGCTGGGGCCGGAACAGAACTACAACCCCCAGAATGCGCCGCGACCCGGCGGTGCGCCGTCAACGTCTACGGCGTCGCGCGCGCGCTGCCGGGAGTCGTATTTCGCGCGTGCGCTCTCGCCGGGACGCCTCCTCCCAGCAGTCCCTGCGCGTCGTCCTCGTCACCCTCCGGGCCGCCGGTGCCGTGCCGGAGTCAGCCGTCCGCCGCTGCCATGCTGCCCGCCGCGCTGCTCCGCCGCCCGGGACTTGTCCGCCTCATCCGCCAGGCCCGTGCTTACGCCGAGGCCGCCGCCGCCCCGGCCGCCGCCGCCGGCCCCGGCCAGATGTCCTTCACCTTTGCGTCCCCCACGCAGGTTCGGGCGCTGCGGGTCGGGACTCTCCGTGTCCGCCGCCCCCGGAGTCCAGGGGCCCCACCCCCAGGGCGCAGTCTCTGCTTCTGGGTCCCCGGACCCGCGCGTCCCTGAAGCGGAGGCCGCTCAGCCCTGCACCCTCGGCCCTGCCAGTGCGGCCGGAGCCCCGCGCTGCCCTCGTCGCGGGCACCTCCCCGAGATAAGCGCCTCCTGGGTGCCCTCCTCGACCTCCCTGGCTACGGCCTGGGTGTCGCCGGCTCGTTGCATTCCCATTTCGCGGATCAGTAAAGTGAGGCGCAACGCTTGAGGACCAAAGCCGCAACCTCGGATTGCCGCGCTGGGCTGAGTGCCCACCTCGGCGCCGGGTCCTGCCTTGACCCATTTCTCAGCGGGACAGGCGGAGTCCCGGGTGGCCGCGGGGCCGGCCTGCCCAGCCGTCATTCACCACGCTGTTCCCTGTAGGTGTTCTTCAACGGTGCCAACGTCCGGCAGGTGGACGTGCCCACGCTGACCGGGGCCTTCGGCATCCTGGCGGCCCACGTGCCCACGCTGCAGGTCCTGCGGCCTGGGCTGGTCGTGGTGCATGCGGAGGACGGCACCACCTCCAAGTACTTTGGTGAGTCCGGTGGAGGGCTGCAGGGCCAGGTCAGTCTCCAACTCAGTTGAGGCCGGGCGCGGTGGCTCACGCCTGTAATCCCAGCACTCTGGGACACCAAGGCGGGTAGATCACCTGAGGTCAGGAGCTCCGAGACCAGCCTGGCCAACATGTAATCGCATCTCTACTAAAAATATGGAAACCTAGTCTGGTGTGGTGGTGCGCGCCTGGAATTCCAGCTACTCAGGAGGCCGAGGGAAGAGAATCACTTGAACCTGGAGGCGGAGGTTGCAGTGAGCTGAGATTGCACCATTGCATTCCAGCCTTGGGTGACAAAGTGAGACTCCATCTCAAAAGAAAAGAAAGCATGTTGGGCTGGGTGCAGTGGCTCACACCTGTAATCCTAGCACTTTGGAAGGCCGAGGTGGGAGAGTGTGAGGTTAGCCTGGACAGCATAGTGAAATCCCGCGTCTACAAATGTAGCGGGCTGTGGTGCTGCACACCTGTAGTCCCAGCTGCTTGGGAGGCTGTGGCAAGAATACGGCTTCAGCCGGGGAAGTCAAGGCTGCAGTGAACCAAGATCATGCCACTGCACCTCAGCCTGGGCAACGAGAGTGAAACCCTGTGTCAAAAAAAGCCCTCCAAAAGCTGTGGTGGGAGGGCCAGTCAGATGAGGGGAGGAAGGTCATTTGTGTAGGAAAAAAGCAGTTCTCAGCATCACTGGCCAGTGGCAGAGCCAGGTTTGAACTCAGCATAGCCGATGGGTGGTGGGTCAGACGGAGGGCCTCTGGCCCCAGGCAGTGCTTTTGGGAGTCCCTGGTCCCACATCAGTCCTTGGGCTCCCTCCAGCTTCTAGTCCTTTCTTAGGACCCCTTTTTTTGTTCTTCTCTAGAAGTTGTCTGCCGTGTTGGGCATGTCCTGTGGAACTGCCTTTTGGCACACTCAGGACACAGACTTGGGTGTTTGTGGAGCACCTGGTTCACAGGGAGCTCTGGGCTTGACCACGGGAGTCCCTGCAGCTGTCCAGCCACGTGGGGTCTCACGCCTTCCGTCTCCCACTCCCACAGTGAGCAGCGGCTCCGTCACGGTGAACGCCGACTCTTCCGTGCAGTTATTGGCCGAAGAGGCAGTGACTCTGGACATGCTGGACCTGGGGGTGAGTGTCAGGGGGTACCTGATGGTGAGCAGGCGGGAGCTGTCCAGGCTTTGGGGGAGGGAGTGCTGGGGGACCAAGAGCCAGGCTGGGGTCCCTGCTTGGCCCTCACCATCCCTCAACCCCCTGCAGGCAGCCAAGGCGAACTTGGAGAAGGCCCAGGCGGAGCTGTCGGGGGCAGCTGACGAGGCCACGCGGGCCGAAATCCAGATCCGAATTGAGGCCAATGAGGCCCTGGTGAAGGCCTTGGAGTAGACGGTGTGTGTCTGGTGCCCGGAGGCCTGGCTGGGGGCTGGGCAGGGGTGCCGGGTGGGCCTGGCCAGCTCCTGGGGTCCTGGCCGCCCTGGAAAGCCACAACTGCCAAGGAGGCCACCAGAGGGCAGTGCAGGCTTCTGCCTGGGCCCCAGGCCCTGCCTGTGTTTAAAGCTCTGGAGACTGGGACGGAAATGCTCCTCCTGAGCTTTGGGCTGCGCCTGTCACCCGTGGGGCTCTCCTTACGCCTCTCAAGATGCCCGCAGCCTGACGTCCGCATACCACCCCTCTGCCCTCCAGAGCCAGCCGCCAAGACCTGCGCTTCGGAGCTCCCTCCGAGGATGAGCTGCCCCAGCCCCTGCCCGATTAAAGTGCAGGAAGCCTGACTGTGTGCACGGCTCTTGTCACTACACCTGCCTGGTGAGGCCAGGACCATCCCAGGCCTCTGCCCACATCCTGCATGTCCCCTGGAAATAAGGCCTTTGAGCTCCCCTGGACTCTGCCTCTTGGGGCACCTAGAGGTCCTTGGGAAACAGGCTTGAGTGGGTGGGTCCTGCTGGGCAGGCAGGGTGCTGACCTTCAACCCATGATGGTGGGGAGGGTGATGAGGGCCTCAGGCGGGAGGAGTGTCCCCACTGCTGTCACCTCTGCCAAGTGCCTGGTCTCCAGGCTTGGAGCCTTGACCCTAAGCCCTACAGGCCCTTGGCTCCACCTACCAGCCCCTGGGAAGAGGCGGGCCCCACCCGCTCCCACGCTGGCCCCGCCCTGTGCCTGCCCATCATGTGGGTGGCCCTGCCTGGCAGGGTGCTGAATCTGCAATGTTTTTGGCACCTCTGTGGGCATCTAGGCTTCTGGGTTGGCCCCAGATGGAGTGGGGCGGGCCTAGGAGGGGGTGGCTCCCTGGCACTATCCCTCCTGGGCCTGCCACTCCTCCCTGCCGCAAGCCCAGGGGGTGGGCGACAGCTCCAGGGGGTGTTCGGGCGGCCTGGGCTGGGGTCTCCTGACCTCCTTCCTTGGGACTGGGCCCTGCGGAGTGGGATGGGCCTGCCTGTGTCACTGGAGCTGGGATAGTGACAGAGAGGCCAGCCTAGGGCCAGTCAGCACAGACAGGCAGCTCACTCCCATGTCACCGTCCCACGTTGGTGACTCACCATGGCTGCACTTGAGGCTAGGTGCCATTGGGGGGCCTCCAGGTGTGCTGGGGCTGCCGGTCAGGTATTCGGAGACGGTCCAGAGTCCTCTGCCTGGCTCCCGCAGTACCCGGGCTTCAGGGCATGAGTGACAAGCCCCCCACTTCTCCCAGAACCCCCAGCCCAGGGAAGGCTGTGCCAGCCACCAGGTCACAGGAGCAGCCTCTGACCAGGCCCGTCCCTCGGCTCCTGGCCCAGGTCTTGGAGTTCCTGCCAGGCCACCAGGACCCTATAAATAAGACCAAGGGCACAGCTGGGGCTTGGCAGGGACCCAGCAGGAGCTGCTCACTAAGCCGCCTGCTCCTGGCTTGGGCCAGCAGCACCCACACCGGGGACCCCCTGCCCCCACCACCAGGGAGGTGTGAGCCTTGGAGCCAGGCCTCAGGTCACCCGGAACACCTGACCCTGAGGGAACAGCCCGTGCTGGCTGGATGTGTCCCCGGGCAGGAGGCAGCCAGGGTGGGGCCAGGACCCAGGCGGTCAAGGCCCTTCCGCGAGGGCAGCCCCAGGCTCAGTGGGCAGGACGGAGTACAGGGTTTGTCCCCATCACACCCAGAAACCACCCACTCAACCACGGGGATGCCAAGTGTGGGAACTGGCGGGGAAGCGTTTTAGCATGTTTATTAGTTTAGACTGACTCTGGGCATCTGGTCCCCAAAGGGCCACATAACGGCCCCCCTGGAGCCCGGTATGTCCCCACAACCCATCCCATTCCAGTCCTGACCAGACTGAGGTGACAGTATCCAGGTGGCAGAGCTCTGCTAACCCCAGGGTCACCCCCAGGCCACTGCCACCCCCACACATGAGAGGCAGGGAGGGAAGTGGCTGCTGGCCACTCAGAGGACCCCAATGCCCTGCCAGGATTGCCCATCCAGTGCCAGCCTGAAGCCCCTTCCACCACCTCTGCTGCCATTGGAAGCAAAATGAGCCTCGCCCTGCAGGTCCCACACGGGGCCCAGCCCCTCATCCAGGCCCCATTAATCCACTTTGGGAGTATCATCTTTTTTATTTGGGTGATTTTTGTTTGTTTTGAGACAGTCTTTTTCTGTCCCAGGCTGGGGTGCAGTGGCTCCATCTCAGCTCACTGCAACCTCCGCCTCCCGGGTTCAAGCAATTTGCCTGACTCAGCCTCCCAAGTAGCTGGGACTACAGGTGCGCGCCACCATGCCCAGCCAGTACTTGTACTTTTAGTAGAAATGGGTTTTCACTATGTTAGCCAGTAGGGTCTTGATCTCCTCACCTCGTGATCCGCCCACGTTGGCCTCCCAGAGTGCTGGGATTACAGGCGTGAGCCACCATGACCCTTGGCATCATCTTTTGTATGTGACAAGCTCCTACTCATTCAAATCTCAGTCCCTGTGACCCCCTTCCAAGGGTTCTCCCAGCCTCTCCCTCTCTGGCCTAACCCTGACCCTGCGGGGCTGGGTGTGCCTGTCAGGGTGGGGAGGAGTGCCGTCCTGGGAGGGGTGCCCATGGCCAGGGTGGGGGTGGAGGTGGTCAGGCCAGATAAAGGGAGGAGCCAGATAAGTGGACAGGAGGTGCTTCAGTAGGGATGGGGTCCCCTTCTCTGGACAGAGGGGCAGGACAGGGGCCAGCCCAACGGGGACACCCTGAAAAAGCCACTACCGAAAAGGTAAGATACACCTCACATTTTTGTCTCATTGGCTGTGCCTCAGTTTCTTCATCTGTAAAGTGGGGGTAATGCCCATCCCAAAGGCTGGGTATGAGTCCATGTCCTGCATTAACAGGGAGTGATGGTCCCAGAGTGAGCCTGCTGCATCCTCTCACTACATGCCCACGCACCGTGGAGAAACTGAGGCTGGGAGAGGCCAGTTACCTCCCGAGGTCACAGCATAGCCGGATGGTGACTGGCTGGGCACAAGGCAGGCCTGGCACTGGCTAATCGCTCCATAAATGCCCTCTGAGGTCACCATTGACAGATGCAGGAGGCCAGGGCTGGCCCGGGCACCCCCACTCCACGGCAGGTGACTCCAGCCTGTTTTCCTGGACGACGGCCGCTGACTCAGGCCCCTCTTCCCGTCCCCCCCACGCTGGGGCCTCCAGGCGGAAGCACCGGGCCTGGGGTGGCAGGAAGGGGGCGGGGCAGAGAGCCGCACCGTACACCCCAAACTCTGTCCAGGTGACGATTCAGGGTGCATCCGGGCCTGCAGAAGGCAGGCTGAGACCCTTGTCTCCAAGCATTCAAGGGGCGTCCACCCATGAACTGCACGAAGCCTGGGTACAGGGTGGCTCGGCTGCCAAGGTGCCCCAGGGCCCCGGCCGGCAGGCAGGGGCGGGGGCCAGTCTGCGTCACCGCCCGCCCGGTCCCCCGCCCCCTGCCCCCCGCCCCCTGCCCGCCCAAACTCCACCCCGAGGGAAGGCGGCGCGGATAAAGGCTGGGGGCCGCCCGCTCGGCCCAGACCGGCCGGGCCAGCGCGCTTTCGACTCCAGACGAGTGTATTCGCAGGACTTGGGGTCCAGGACCGGCCGTGCCCGGTGAGTTGGGGGCGGGACCTGCGGGGCGAGGAAGGGTCTCCACTCTAGACGGCTCGGGATGTCCGCACTTTTCTTTGTTCTTGGGACAGGCGGGGTTCGGGGTACCCTTGGTCCTGGGAAGCCCCCCGGGGTGCGGGGTGGGAGGGGCCCCGCACAGCCAGCGCCGCCCTGGCCGGACCTCAGCCCCCGCCCCGCCCCCCGGGGCACTCCCCCTTCCCCGCGAGTGACCTTGAACTGGCTGCCGTTCCGCCTCCGTTTCCCAGCCACGCGGTCCCGGTCTCCCGACTTAGTCTTTCGTTCCCGATCGGGGTTCCTCCCCCGCGCGCAGCCCCGCCGTCCTCCTCCCGTGCCCGGGGCAGCGCAGCGCCCCCTCCCCGGGACTCCGGGCGGCGCTCCCGGGCGGGCACGGCAGAGGGCGCACCCGAGCTGCTGACTCACCGCATCCCGAGCGCGCGCGGGCGCAGCCGGGGACGCCGCGTCACGTCACGGCTCGGGCGGGCGCGCCTCGGGAAACGGGCTCTGCCCGGGCCGGCGGCTGGGTGCGCGGGGCCCCCGGCAGCAGCCACCCAGCCACGTCACCGCGGTGCGGGCACCCCGCCCCAACCCCGTCCCCACTCCCCCATGCCCGCCCCGGGGGCCGCAGCCGGAGCGTCCCCGCCGGGACCCCGGCCACGAGGCGCGGACTTCGCGCTCCCGCTTCCGCTCGCGGCTCTTCCCGGACGGACGCGGCGGGGCGGCCCCACGACTTCCTGCCCCTCCTGGCGCCGGGAACAATGGCCCGCGCCCCCTCCCGCTCCCAGGCCGCTCACCGGGGGTCGCCAAGGGGACGAGGCCCGTCTCGGGGCCGGGGTCCCGCGCCCCCCGGGGCCCGCCCGCCCTTTGTTCCGGGCTCCCGGCGCTTATGAATGGCTGCGGGCGCGGGCGGGGCGGGGCGGGGGCGGGCTCAGAGAGGCGCCAGCCCCGCCCCCGCCGCGCTCCCCTTGGTCGTCCGGGCGCCGGGGGCGGGGCGAGGGGCGGGCCCGGCTGCCACGTGGGGCGGTGCCGCGGCGGCTCCCATTGGCTCGGGCTCGCGGCCGACTGGGCGCTCGGCGCGCGGCGATTGGCCGGCGCGGGGCCGGCGGAGTAAGTAGTGAATGGGAGGGGGCGGCGGCCCCGCCCCCTGGAACGTTGATACATTATAACTTTTTTTTTCTTGTTACTTTCACCCCCAGATCCTCCGAGCGGCGGCGGCGGCGGCTGTTGCTAAGGGAGGGGACGCGAGGGGAAGCGCGACCCGGGCGGCAGACGGCACCCAGCGCCACCGGCCGAGCGGCGCCCCCTCCCCAGGACCCTCCTCCGCGTCGCGCCCCGGTCGCGCCCGCCGCCCTTTAAAGGAGCAGCGAGTGCCGTCCCCACCCCCGGAAGGCGCCCCAAGAGCCGGAGCGACCCCGGAGCGCCACTCGCATCGTGGATTTCGGTCCCGCGTTCCGCGGCCGGGACGTTCTCGAGGAGGACGCGCGCCGTTCCGCGTCCCCGAGTGCCCGGAGGACCCGGCATCCGGGGAGCCCCTCGCCCCTGTCCCGGAGGCGCAGCGAGGATTGGCGGCTCCCACCGGCCCCAGCGCCCCCAGCGCGCGCCGGGGATGGAGCCGCAGCCCGGCGGCGCCCGGAGCTGCCGGCGCGGGGCCCCCGGCGGCGCCTGCGAGCTGGGCCCAGCGGCCG